AATGTTTCTAACTCTCTATCTCTCTCCCTTCCTCTCTGTAAAAAATCAATAAAATATATTTTAAAAAAATAAAAAAAAATTTTAAGTGTAAAAAATAATCCTATATAATAAAAGGATAATATGCAAATTGACCCTAATGGCAGAACAACCAGGATGACCACTCAACCAGTCACTATAAGGCACACTGACCACCTCTCAGTCCCTTTCCCTCGCCGGCAGGCTTCGATCACACAATGGTGAACGGGGAACTCGGGGTGGGTGGCAGGGGACACAGGTGGTACCAGGCCAAGGCCCTGTCCCCACCAATCATCTCACACACACAGAGGGCGACCCACAGTAGGGCGGGGCCGGCAAGCAGGCGGAAACGGCTAACCTCTCGGTCCCTTCCCCCAGCCATCAGGCTCTGATCACCCAATGGCAAACACGGAAATGGGGGTGGGTGGCAGTGGGTGGCGGGGCCAGCTGCAGGCAGCCAGGGAAAGTGGCCCTGATTGCAAGCCATGCCTAGGGACCGTACCAGCACACGAATTTTGTGCGCTGGGCCTCTAAATAAATAAAAGTCACTTTTGGGCCAGGCCTGCATGGCTCAGTGGTTGAGCATTGACTTATGAACCAGGAGGTCATGGTTCAATTCCCAGTCAGGGCACATGACCAGGTTGCAGGCTTGATTCCTAGTGTGGGGCATGCAGGAGGCAGCTGATCGATGTTTCTCTCGCATCGATGTTTCTAACTCTCTATCTCTCTCCCTTCCTCTCTGTAAAAAATCAATAAAATATATTTAAAAAAAACAACACAAGTCATTCTCGGGACCCCAAATCTCAGACAAGTGCCAGATCCAACCCATATTCCTTTGGGATATTAGGGTTTTCAGGCTCAGGGTGGGTAGGCCAGGCCACTCCCCTCATTACATGCTCATGTTACACTCTCAGGCTTTAATCTCCAGGTTCCTATCATCCCCCAATCCTACTCACCGCTTTGTCTATTTCCTTATCCACAGCCTCACTCAGATAGGTAACGAAGTTGTTAGAAATGATTAATCTCTAGTAATTATCTCTATGACAACTAAGTACTAGTAACACAGCTAACACTTACTCATAATAACCCCTTAATATTTGCCTGATGCTGCCCTGGCTGGGTAGCTCAGTTGGTTAGAGTGTCATCCCAATATACCAAAGTTGTGGGTCTGATCCCAGGTCAGGGCACATACAAGAATCAACCAATGGCCCTAACCAGTTTGGCTCAATGGATAGAGCATCGGCCTGTGGACTCAAGGGTCCCAGGTTCGATTCCAGTCAAGGGCATGTACCTTGGTTGCGGGCACATACCCAGTAGGGAGTGTGCAGGAGGCAGCTGGTCAATGTTTCTAACTCTCTATCCCTCTCCCTTCCTCTCTGTAAAAAATCAATAAATAAAATTTAAAAAAGAATCAACCAATGAATAAATACCAATGGATAAATAAGTGAAACAAAAAATAGATGTCTCTCTTCTCTGATAGTTGAATGCAAGGGGGAGGGTAGAATAAATGTAATGGATGTATACTGGGTCCTGCACTGGGAATAGAAGGTTCTATTTCTTAACCCTGTGACATTCCTCTTCTATGTGGTTTTCTGAAATGACTAGAGGCCCGATGCATGAAATTCATGCAAAAGTAGGCCTTCCTTCCCCCAGCTGCTGGCACCGGCTTCTCTCTGGCACCCGGGACCTGGGCTTTCCTTGCAGCCCCAGTTTCGTCCGGAAGGACGTCCAGTCTAGTTAGTATATTACACTTTTATTTTTATAGATTGTTTCAGCCCCCTTTCTTCTCTGAGCACCCACTCTCTAAAATCAATAAGTTTTTAATATTTGCCTGATCCTTCATCGTTAAAATCTCTTTTACCAAATGCCATTTGATCTAACCTCCCCTTGTCCCTTTACCCTCTCCAGACCCAGCCTCAGCCCCAGCCCCAGCCACTTTTTCCTCAGATCTTCTTGCCTCACAGTATTTCCATCCTGGGGCTCCTACCTGGAAGGCATACTGTGCTAGAGTGGCCACAACTTCTTTGAACAGGATACGGGAGGTCAGGGTATGTCCATGGTAAACAACAGGCTCCCCACTGGGTCCATCCCATACATCCACCTCCACACAGCGGCACCCCCGCTTCAGGGCCCTGCAAGAACCCCAAGCCCCCAGGGATAGGAGAGGTCAAGGTCTGGTCTTCCACCTAGGGACCTTCTTCCCACTATGGAGAGAACAGTGCACTTACCTCTTAAGATCCCTGTTCAAGTTACATCTCCACAGACCATTCTCTGCCCACTGGAACACTGCTGTAGCTCACACTGATCTCCAACACCTCCCCTCACTCCCAACCAACTCACAATCTTTCCTTAGCAAGTCATCATATACTGCCTCATGATGCTCTGATGTTCTGGTTGTATTTCATTATACAACACCTGAGTTATTTATTTTCTCTATTGGACTTCCTAGGGCAGAAACTATATGTTCCATTCATCTTTGTATCCCTGAAGCTACTAGATCAGTAGTAAGTGCAAAGATATATTGACTTTCTATCTAATGCATGATTGGTCACAATAAAAGTAGTTACCATTTATTAGGTATTGACACAGATTATATCATTGAATCCTCACAACAACCTAGCCAGAATAGACACTGTTATCATTTCTGTTTCACAAATGGGGAAAGTGAGGCATAGGGAGGTGAAATATTTAGCTCCAGAGTAACAGTGAGATAGTTAGGATTTGACTTCAAATGGTCTGACTCCAGAACCTATGTTTTTAACTCCTATGCTCTACTGCAAGCATGTCAAACTCACGGCCAGAGGGCCGCATGCTCAATAAACGAGGTATGCGGCCCACCAGCTGTGAGTATGACATGCTTGTACTGCCTTCCATTTAACATTTAGTTTACTTATTTATTTAAAATAAATCTGTCAGGACCTGAGTTCAAAAAGAGTTTCATAGCTTATGAAAGAGAGAAGCTCCATTTACCCATAGGTTTTAATACCGCTCTCCCACCAGTCTTCAATATCTCCTCCAAGTCTCTCAGGTATTCAAGGATCCTCAGGCCCCAAACTCACCCCCCCCCCCCCCCCCACCACATTTTTTGTTCTTACTCTTTCCACAACATATTTTTGATTCCTGTTACCATTAACAGTGTCCTAAATTTCCCACAGATGTTCCCTTTTCATGAGCTTGATTCCTCCCCCCTTCCTCCCCACTGCACCGTATATATCCCTCGACGCTGCTCTGGCCACAAAGCTGGTCCCCCACCAGGTAGGTGTTGTGAGAGGAATTGATGTAGTAGTGGTTCAGGGGTTGAGTCATATCCTGGTAGATGGGGAGGCAGGAAGGATTGAAGATGTCTCCGTCCTTCGAGTAGAGGTAACTGAGGAAGCCATCCATGCTCAGCACATGCCGCAGCTTGCCTGAGATGTGGAGTAGGGGGACACTAGAATGAGAGAACTCTGAATGGGAGCACCCCAGCACACCCACAGCCAGTCCACCCTACACCTCTCCAGGGTCCTGCCTGTCAGATGGTGTCCACTCCCAGCCTCCAGACCCCAAACTTGACCCCGTCCAGTTTCTGTTATTTCAATCATCCCCACCCTCAGAGAATGTTAAAGCTACAAGGGGAATTATTACAAACATTCTAGTTCGATGCTGTCCAATAGAACTTTTTACAATGATGGAAACTGCACTGTTCAATATGATAGCCTCTAGACCAGGGGTGGGCAAACTTTTTGACTCGAGGGTCACAATGGGTTCTTAAACTGGACCGGAGGGCCAGAACAAAAGCATGGATGGAGTGTTTTTGTGAACTAATATAAATTCAAAGTAAACGTCATTACATAAAAGGGTACGGTCTTTTTTTTTTTTTTTTAGTTTTATTCATTTCAAATGGGCCGGATCTGGCCTGCGGGCCGTAGTTTGCCCACGGCTGCTCTAGACACATAAGGCTACTGAGCACTTAAAATGTAGCTGTGTAACTGAGGAATTGAATTTTTAAATATATGTTTTTATTTATTTGAGAGAGAGAAAGGAAGGGGGGGGAGAGAGGAAAAAAAGAGAGAGAGAAACATCATTCATTTGCCTCCTGCATGCCCTTGCTGAGGATCAAGCCCTCAACCTGGCATGTGCCCTGCCTGACAAGGAATCGAACCAACAAACTTTTTAAAATTTATCCTCACCCAAGGATATTTTTTCCATTGAATTTTAGAGAGAGTGAAAGGGAGAGAGGAGGAAGAGAAGAGAGAGAGAGAGAGAGAGAAACATCAATGTGAGAGAGACACATAGACTGGGTGTCTTCTGCATGCACCCCAACTAGGAATAGGGTGCAAACCCCTAACGGAGATACATGCCCTTGACTGGGAATCGAACCCAAGACCCTTCAATCCTCAGGTGATGCTCTAACCAGTGAGCAATCTGGCCAGCAAAGAACCAGCTACCTTTTGGTGCAAGGGAGGACACTCAACCAACTGAGCCATACCCGCCAGGACAGGAACTGAATTTAAAATTTTGATTTTAGTTCATTTAAATTTAAACAGTCATAAGGTGCTCATGGCTACCATAATGGGCAGCACAATATTCATTTTGAAGGGGTAATTTTATAGATAGGGAAACTGAGGCCCAGAGAGAATCAAAGTCAAAGGCTTGTTAGCAACACAACCAAGGTATCTTTGTTTTATTCCCTGGGCTGTGTAGCTGCTGCCAACTATGACCTAAGGGTTCTTTTTTTCCTATTGTCAATTCCCACATGGTGTTTTGCCTTGGACCACACTTTTTTCAAGGGCCAGGTCCTGTCACCCTTCCATGGCCCTCACCCATTTCAGCATGGGCTTCTATATTTACAACAATGACTAACAGTTACTGAGCACTTGCTTTATACAAAGGATGTTACATTCAACATCTCTCTTAATGCTCTCACCAACATGATGAGGTAGATGTAATATAATCTGTCTTGAGAGGTTGGGTAATTCATCTCATGTACATAACCAGTAAGTGTAGGGACTTGAACCCAGGCAGCCAGGTGTCAGAGCCACACCCTACACCACTGAGGGAAACATTGCTGCAGGGGGGCTCCCTTGGAAGGAAGAATAATTAGATTCTCATGCCCAGCTTCTTGTTCCAGATTTGATAAGGCCTGAAGATCCTGGAGAATGGCAGCAACTTTCATTCTTTATAGTAATACATCAGATCAATAGGTTAAGTCTGCATCTGCCAGGTACTTTCATATGCATTATTACATTTGATCAACAATTATTTTAAAAATGAGAAAATTGAGTCTCAGATTAAGCAACTTGACCAAGGTTACTCAGTAAGAAGCAGAGTAGAAACTTGAGCCCAGGTCCCTTGACTTATACTACCCAGCAGGCAGAGTATAGCATCTGATAGTTGAGTGCAAGGGGAGGGTAGAATAAATGTAATGGATGTAATAAATGTAATAGAAGATCCTATTTCTTAATCCTGTGACATTCCTCTTCTATGTGGTTTTCTGAAATGATTGCTTTCAGTCCCCTTTCTTTTCTGAGTACCCACATGAATCAACACTTTCTATTTGACTCTAAGTTCCATGAATACATTGCCCTTGTCTTGACCTAATACTATATCTCTGGTGCCTAGCACATAAGTCCTGCCACATTTAGGTATTCAATAAGCACTAGCAGAAGTATAGTGTGAGTGAATGAATGAATGAATGAATGGAAGGAAGAAGGAAGGAAGTGGGAATTGAGACTTAGGAAACCTGGGTCACTTGTCCAGCTCTTATTCATCTCATCTCTAATCCTTATTCTCAAGAAAGGCACCAAGTAAGAATCAAATGACCTGGATTTGAATTCCAATTCCTCCTCTCATTAGCTGTTGGCTTTCAGCAAGTAATTTAATTGTTCTAAACCTCAGTTTTTCTCTCTTGCACAACTGACTCAATAATAAAAACTATTTCAACAGGTCATTGTAAGGATTAGAAGAGAAAAGGCATGTAGAGATACTGGCACATTATGGAATACTTGGCAAACGCCCAATCTTGATTTACAAGATTGTAGTAAGAACTAAATGAAGTAAGGCATGTGAAAGTGCCTTGTAAATAATTTCTACATATATAAAAGGCTAATATGCAGTGTCCCCTTGGGAGTTCACCCGGGAGACCAGGAGTTCGATCACGCACTATGACGTGCGCTGACCACTAGGGGGTGGTGTGGAACATGGGGGGCGACCAGCAGCAGCTGGGGCGTTGAGGGAGCAAGGGAAGTGGGGAACCTGATCAGTCCTGATTACCAGCCAGGACTAGGGACCCTACCCATCCACGAATTTTGCACACCAGGCCTGTAGTCTAATCTAATAAAAGAGAAACATGAAAATTGACCACACCTCCACCACGCCCACCGGCCACGCCCACCGGCCAATCAGGAGGGAATATGCAAATTAACTCAACTAAAATGGTGGCGGCCACAGAGCTGGAGTGAGCAGGAGGTTTGGGTTGCCCCCAGCAATGGAGGAAGCCAAGCTTCCCACCTGTCCTGCTGGCCCTGAGCTCCGCTCAAGGCTATAAAGTTTCAATTATAGAAGATAAATAAATCCCAGATACTTGCTTCCAGCCCGTGGCCATGGCCAGCCTGAAAACAGCCCTCAACCCCTCATCCAGGCTGGCCAAACCCCCTTGGGGTGAGGGTCCCCACTGGGGGGCTTGGCCAACCTGCAAACAGCCATCAGCCCCTTGTCTAGGCTGGCCAGGCACCCCAGCGGGACCCCCACACCCGGAAGGTGGTGTGGCCAGCCTGAAAACAGCCCTCAGCCCCTCACCCAGGCTGGCCAAACCCCCATGGGGTGAGAGTCCCCACTGGGGGCCTTGGCCAGCCTGCAAACAGCCATCAGCCCCTCATCCAGGCTGGCCAGGCATCCCAGTGGGACCCCTATCCTGATCTGGGACACCCTTCAAGGCAAACCAGCTGGCCACCGCTCATGCACCAGCCCCCTATCCTATATAATAAAAAGGTAACATGCAAATTGACCCTAACAGCAGAACGACTGGGAATGACTGGTCACTATGACACACACTGACCACCAGGGGGCAGATGCTCAGTGCAGGAGCTGCCCCCTGGTGGTCAGTGTGCTTCCACAGGGGGTGCTCTGCCAAGCCACAAGCTAGGCTGACGGCTGCCAGCACAGTGGTGATGGCAGGAGCCTCTCCTGCCTCCTCAGCAGTGATAAGGATGTCTGACTGCAGCTTAGGCCTGGTCCCCACTGGCAAGTGAACATCCGTCGAGGGCTCTCGGGCTGCCAGAGGGATGTCTGACTGCCAGCATAGGCCCAATACCCCAGGGAGCGGGCCTAAGCCAACATGTGGACATCCCCCGAGGGATGTCAGACTGGGAGAGGGCACAGTCTATGCTCCCAGACTGCGAGAGGGCAGAGGCCGGGCTGAGGGACCCCGCCTGAGTGCACAAATTTTTGTGCACCAGGTCTCTAGTAATATTAATAACTAGAGGCCCAGTGCACGAAATTCATGCAGGTGGGGAGGTGTCCCTCAACCCGGCCTGCACCCTCTCCAATCTGGGACCCCTCAGGGGATGTCCGGCAGTCGGACATCCCTCTCACAATCCAGGACTGCTGGCCCCTCACGGCTCGCCTGCCTGCCTGCCTGCCTGATTACCCGTAACCGCTTCTGCCTGCTGGCCTGATCACCCCCTAACCACTCCCCTGCCAGCCTGATTGACACCTAACTGCTCCCTTGCCAGCCCAATTGTCCCCAACTGCCCTCCCCTGCCAGCCCGATCACCCACAACTGCCCTCCCCTGCCGCGACCTGCCTCCTCCGCCAGGACCTGCCTCCTCCACATAAGGTGGCAGAGACACCGGGACCGGCCTCCTCTGTGCCATGCAGAGCTGTGGGACCCCCAGGCCTCACCACATGGAGCAGCCACCAGACCCTGCCTCCACTGTGCGCGTGGCCATCTTGTGGCAGCCATCCTGTGACAACATTGCGCGAGGGCGTGGCACGACACCACCTAGGCTTTTATTATATAGGATGTACTAGTAAATTCCTCACATTCTGAAAGGCATGGAGAGCAGGAAGATATCTACTAAAAGGGCAAGGAGAAAAATTTGAGGGCAGAGAGGGCATATTTTAGTTGTGTTTGATAATGCTGATTGATTGACCTCATCATCATCCCCCTCAGCCAGGGGCTGACTAGCTTCCTAGGACTTTAAGGGAATCAGAGACTTCAAGAACCATCTGGTAAACTTGGAGAAAGCCAAGGAAAGGGCAGAGAGCCAGCACTTAAAGTGATAGCAAATAGGAACCATGAAGGGAACTAGAGGAAAATGAATCATATACACTAGAGGAGAAGAGACCAAAGCAAGAGGACCAAGTATTTTATACTATATCTCCACTGAGGCCAAAAGCTGATATAAGGAAGAACTTTCAGCAAGTGAAGGATGTGCAACTTGAGCATGGTGGAGGAAAGGGGTCATGTGGAATATTCTTCCTCTGAGAGATCTAGCATTGCAGAGGAGACTTCTCTCTTATCTGGGCAAGAAATGGAAATGGCTGCACTCCTTCGAGAATTGGCTGAATGAGATGAAGATGATTAGGGGACTGAGGCAGGGGTGGACTCAGCCTTCCTTGAGTTAGATAGAAAGCTGCTGATCTCTGGACCTTTCTGGTCATGGTCCCCCTCCCTGACCCCTGTCTGGTGCCTCTCTGCTCTGGTCCTCTTACCACTTTCTGAAGGCTCATGACGGTCAATGAGTTCCAGAGCAAGGTCAGAAGCATGGTCTCCTTCTTTCTGCTCCTCTTGGAGGAAATCCACAAATTCCAACAGGGTCAGCTTCTGCCCATCAGCCGAAAAGTTTCCAAACAGTTCCAGCACCTCAACACGCTTAGTCAATGCCTTATAGAACTCTATAAATTCTTGTCCCTCCAGAGTGTCAGATTGGGATGTGTCTGCTGCCTGAAAGAGGGTTTAGAGGAGATTGGACAAACCCTTTAACAGCAACTTTTATGGCCTTGGCTTGTCTTATAAGGACAGTCTTACTGACAGATGGATCCAAGTATGCTTCCACAGAATACATGATGTTCATAGAAGAAGTCACTTCAGTAAGAAGCAAAATTTCAGCCATACCATTTGCTACTAAAAAAATTTTTCAACTAGAAAGAATTGAAATCCCTAAAGGTAAAAATATCCCTTCTTCTATTTATTCACATTCCAGTTGGAGTTTTCTATTGTTCTAAGCACCTGTGAAAGTCTGGCCATGGACAGAGAGGTTCTTGGGGTCTGATGTAATAACATATTATTAGTTACCTTTTATAAGATTATAAATCATCTTTCCAACAAGACTGGAGAGTAAGAAGCATGGCCTACACTTCCCATTGAGCCTGGCATAGTGCTAAGGGCACGTAATAGAGATTCAATAAATGAATGTTGTTCGAAAGGATCAGAGTACTTACGGTCAAGTGAGAATGTGGCCTTGTTTGGCTTCTGCAAATACTTTCCTGAAAGACTCACCTGGAAAAGCTGAAAGGCATGTTCTTGTTCCATTTCCACATTCATCAGGCGTAGTAACCTCTGGACTTCGTGGAAACTCATCCGACCATCCTGGTTTTTGTCTCCACGCTGGAACCAGTCACTCAGCCATCCAGGTCCGAGTCAAGGCAAAAGTACTTTGTGTGTTTGTATGTGCAGATGTGTGTGCATGTTCATTCACTGACATCTCTCCCTATCTTTGCTGCCTGTCTATCTTCCACACCAATTAATTTTCCACTTAGCTTCTAGAATACCCACCCCCCAAAGTACCTATCTATCTTATCCCTGCATGGCTCAGATGCCAGCAGGTACCTCTTTTTTGCAGAAAGTACAGATTCCTTAACATAGAAGTTAAGATCTCCTGTGCCCCCATAATCTGGCCCCAACCCAGTCTTCTCAACACATCTCTGTCCTTTCTTCACTTTAGCCTGAACCTCAACTTCCCACTCTGTGAGGTCCCAGCTCTCCAGCCTTCAGTTTCCTATCTCTGGACCTTTACTCATGCTGTTCCTTCAGGCAGGGGTGTTTTACCTCCTCTCTTAATGTTCAAATTATACTAATTTCCAAGGCTTCGCTAAAATACTACTTCCTCCCTAAAGCTTTCTCAGAACCTTCTCAGCTAGAATTAAATATTTCTCCTTTCTTTGAACAGCCTCAAATAATCTAAGTACCATAACAGTTCCATGGTCCTTAGATTATTTACACAATCCCATCCTCTCCACTGAGGAAAACAATATCGTTGTACTCCTAAAACCTGGCATATAGTGCCTGATACATTCTGCTTAATAGCTGGTGAACGAATGGATGAATGAATGAAAGAACTAGCACAGAAGGTGAATACAATCTAGGAAACTTGAAGTGAGTTGACACCACTAAGTCTTTGAAGGGATTGCTTCCCACTCCTGTGGTAGTTAATGCCACTAGGATCTTCTGTTCAGCTCTCAGGATCAGCATCTTGTTTGGCCCTTGACCTCTTGCTGTCCCTTCCCCCAAACCTAGGAGGCCTGATGCATGCCCAAACTCTGCCTGGCTATGCTTTTTCCATCTCAATCCTCGATTCCTCCTTCAGCATTCTCAGCCTCACATCGGTCTGAACTGCCCCTACCCACCCCATCTGGACTCTTGGGATTCCCTAGCCCTATACCGCCCCCCTCACCTGTCTCTAGCCCTGCAGCATCTGCCCCTTCAGTGACTCTGGTCCCCATTCTGACTCCATCCTGCCCGATACTGGTCCAGCCTCTCCTGTTGATCCATGTTGGTGACAAAGTCCACCAATAGCTGGAGCCCCTTCATCCAGATCTGGGCCTCTTCCACATTGTTGGCCACCAGGTCCAAGTTGGAGCGGCGGCCATGGAAGACGATGGTAAAGCCCTGCTCCAGGGGGAACTCCTCTGCCAGGCTGCGCAACAACTCAGATTCATGGCCATTACGCACTGTCTCCACGTCAGAGATCGAGACTGCCAGAGAAGAAGCAAGTGAGGAGACTGAGGAAAAGAGTTCACCAAATTGCAGGAGCTAATGATAAAGGACCATTAATTACTCCCTCCTTCTCTGTGAAGCCATAGAGAGGAGGAACCCCAGCCTCCACAGGCTAAAACCCCAAAAGCTTTAGTATAGGGAGATGCAGACCCCTGGGATTCAGGATTCCACATGAATCACTGCTGTGTTCATAGGTACCATGGCAAGGGGCCTGTGCTGGGAATGGCAGGACTGGCTCCCAGCGTTCAGCTGGCAGTATGACACAGACAAAAGACCTTAATCCTCAGTGTCCTCATCAATAAGGGATGGTCCCTTACATGGCCAGTGTACATGGTGATCACAAAAGGACTGGTGGGGCTGACAAATGGAAGCAGAGTTACAGGGTAGAAGCAGTTACACCAAAGCATAATATGCCCAATTTCAGTTCTTCCATTTCAGGTTTGAGAGCTTCCTCTTTCCAGATAGGAAGGAGCCAGAGAAATGCTCCCACCCTCTTTCCTCAGCTGGGAGTGGTGTGGAACGTGAGCTTTGATATGTCTCTAAAGCAGACTCCCTTAGATGCGTCCTGTGATCAAATTTTTAGAGGGATCATAAAGTGTTCAGCCAATAGAATGTATACTTACGATGAATTTATGACATTTTAAAATATTCACCATAATGGCTCATATTTATTAAATGTATCTGGTTTCAGGTCCCATGCTTTAAACAATTAATTTATTGAGTCCCTATAGTCTACTAGGCAGGTACTGTTTAACATCCATTTTACAGATGAGGAAACTAAAGCTGAGTTTAAGTAACTTGTCCAAAGCCACTCAGCTAGAAAGTGTCAGGGCTTTAATCCAGCCAGTCAGATGCCCGAGATCATGCTCTTATTATAATAAAAATAACAAGATATATAATGTATGATTTATTGAGCCTTTTTATGTTTCAGGACTCTTCTAAGCCCTTTAATGCAATAATTGATTTTATCCTAATAACAGCCTTAAGAGGCAAATACTGTTATAATTTTCATTTTATAGGCTCAGGCATAGATACAAGTGGGACAGCATAAGGCAACATCATAGGACCCTGGTCCCTCTCCTGCTATCAGATGCTGGGCTCCTCAGGATTCTATGCACCCATATGCCCACCCCTAGCTATCCATGTCACTTACAGCTGGCCTTGGCTCTGGCTCCGACCTGCCGGGCATGCGAGATGGTCATGCCATCTTCCTGAAGTCTGAAGTATCTTAGCTTCTTCCAGTTTTTGGATCTCACCTTGCGCATCATTGTACCTTTCTGCATCAGCAGCACATCTTGACTTATGGGCAGCCCTGGGCCAGGAGAAGCAGGGGCTGGATAGCCAACCAGGGATGTGGAGGGCCCAGGAGGAGCTCTTGAATAGGGGTTCAGTATCCTCCCCATCCCTGGGCTGTCTCCCCAAGCCCTCTTCTGCAGGGGTACTCACGGCCTTGCAGCAGGGATGCCATCACCCACTGCTCCACCAGCTGTCACCAGAGTCACCTAAAGGGGTAAGGAGGAGCAAAAGACTGGGTTAATCTTGGTGATTTTAGAATAACAGAACAAGGGAGGAAGAGAAGGAAACCAATGTTTCCTGACTGCCCACTATGTGTCAGGCATTCCATCTATATAGTCTGTAGCTCTTTTTACTTCTAATTTGAATTTGGTAACTACAAGGCTTAGAAAGGCTAAGAAACCTGCCTCAAATCACATAGGGATTCAGAATTTGAAGCCAAGTATGTCTGATTCTAGAACCTTTGCTGCTTCCCATAGTCATCTCCAGAGAGGGCTAAACCAGGTCTTTCTGCCAAATACTCCTCTCTTTCCCAATACCCCATATTCCACAAGATAACCTCATGTCACACTGCTCAGCTCCTCATTATTAAAAACCACTGTCTTGCCCTAACCGGTTTGGCTCAGTGGATAGAGCGTCGGCCTGCGGACTGAAAGGTCCCAGGTTCGATTCTGGTCAAGGGCATGTACCTTGGTTGC